TCCTCCTTCTATGAGCGCTCCAAACCCGCTCTGAGAAGACGGTCAAAGGCGTGAGATCGAAACCGGGAATTTCCGTAAACTTACTTAATATACAACTGAACACAAAATATCCTTCGGCGCAGTCGGCACTCTGCAGTGAATATACAATGTCGAAGCAAATGATGGTGATCGCTACAAAAGGACTGAATTTAACTTTAAATGGGCTTTTTTTCTTACACGTTTGATCTTAATGAAAATAAATAGTGCAACACTACGTTTCAAGTTATGGGTACTGGCAAAGTTTCATATTTTTTCATTGGGTAGTTTCTAGTAATATACTGTTCGCAAAATTTGGCCTTAGCTCCATTAGTAGTAAGATTACTATTATTATTACTATTATTATTATTACTTTTATTGTCATTATTATTGTCATTATTATTGTCATTATTATTATTATTGTTATTGTTATCATTGTAATTGTTATTGTTTTTGTTATCATTGTTATTATCATCATCATTCAGGTAAGATCTACGACGGCAAGACTGAGCTCCTGGCTTGGTTTGTGAGCCACTGCGAGACCCGGTCACAGAGGGAGCAGTACGTTCTGCGCATGCACAAACTGACCCCCGTCCATGTGTTTGGCCGGTGTGGGACGCGGAAGTGTGGCCAGGCGCAGCACTCCAGAGCCAGTGACCAGGACCTTTGTCTGCCCATGTTGACCAGAAAATACAAGTAGGTCGTTTTGGGCGTTTATTTGTTTGCTTGGGATTTTAAAGTAGTTTGGTTTTTGTTTTGGGTTTGTTTGTTTTTTGTTTTGTTTTTTTTGGGGGGGGGTTCTTATTATTGTAGGTTTTTTCTGAACCAGGTTCACTGGTTTCTGTAGTGTAGCTATTTGGTGCTTCGTTGTAGTACGCAGAAGACTCGAGTTCGATTTCCTGGTCAGGATAAATTTTTTTTCTTTTCGGAGAGCGGAAGGGGAGGGTTTGAAATGTCAGTAGCCCAGAGGAGGCGGCAAAGGAGATGAGGGGCTGGGGGCAGAAATTGGAGACGAAAGCAGACGACAGAACATTGTTGGAGAACAGGATATGAGAGGAAAGAGAAGAAAATGTTTTCCATCACTACCCGGATTCGAACCCGGGACCTTTGAATGAGAGGTGAACATCTTAACCTCTAGGTCACGAAAGCCCCCGCTGTTACTTTAAATAAGCTGAACTCGGCCAAAAATAAGGAAGTCGAAAATCGATGCGAAACAAAACTGTTTCCGTTTGCCAGCACTTACCTTTCAAAAGTACACAAAATGTACTCCAAATTACTCAAAAGTACTTTTATAAAAAGTGTTTGAGAAGAGTAGAGTACTGATTCTCAAAAATATATCGGAGTACAGTAAAATTATCGAAAATTGTAAGATATGTACAAGTACCGGAGTACTTATACTCCGTTACAACCAGCTCTACTTTTCACTTACTTTAAGAAAAAAAGGGCGGAATGCATTTTTACTAAAGTATCTGTTCACAACGCTACGCCCAAAGGAGAAGGGTGTCGAACTCATTAACGTTTTCGTCACAAACCCTCAGCTTTACATTTTGACTAGGACGCTAACCCTCTTTCTCACAGGGCTATATACTTTTGCCGAAAACGATTTTAAAACAGCCCCAAAATGTCAGCTGCCCTTACATGACCAATTTTGAGTCGCGATAATTAAGAGCTGTAAAATTTAAGAAACACTCAACAAAACCAGAATAAGTACTACCCACCTATATTACACAGAATAGTTGTGTCTTTGTTGCAGAACGTTTATCGGCTAGTGTTACAGAATATGATGTATCTGTCAGTGGGTGTAATTCATTTCCTCATTATCCTAAAAACTGTAGAAATTATTTTCCAACTGACAGCATTTCAGGTGCGAAGCTGATGGTCCGGTTAGATCAGATCAGCTTGTCTGTGACACTTTTTGGATATGTCTTTTTTTTTCAAGGACATCCGTTCCGATAAAATATTGAAGAGTCCACTAGTAAAACAGTCAAAGTCACAAGATGGAAATTAAGAGGATATCAATTTCAAAACCGTGTAGACTCATAACCCGGTCTCTTAAATAACCTTGTAGTTTTGACTGGGGCGTTCAACCTATACCATTTCAGACTCATATAAGCCTGACTGAGAGAATAATTCCCCAAATGGGGACGAGAAAATCCGGCTTTGTTACAAATGTTACAAGGATCTGGAACATTCAGAAACATTTCCGGCTTTTCGGGGAAACATGCAACACAATGCAAACTGCCACTTCAATACATGTAGCCCTTTGAGGGTAAGCACCAGTGTGTTATTGACAAAATATATATGCACAACGCATTATGGCATAATAAAGCTCGCATTTAATAGTGTTGTTGTCTATTTTCAGGTTTTATCTGGCGTTTGAAAACGCTTTCTGCATCGATTACATCACCGAAAAATTCTTCAAGATTTTCCATGATGTTGACGTCATTCCTGTGGTCCGCGGGGGGTTTGACTATAAGCGATACCTGCCTCACGGGGTTTATGTAGATGCGGCGGATTTTGAGGTATTGTTAAAAATCCAATTCTCGCTTGTATACCATAACATTATTATAACGATAGCCAGCTGTTCAGATGTACATGTACAACGCCCTTTTTAGAGGTTTATTGCAGTTTCTTAATCTGTGTTTGCTCCTTCTTTTCTAGGCTCACATTCATCTATGTCTGTTTTACTACTGTTTCCTGGCTTAATATTATCAGAGATTGGCGTTGAAATCAGAGGTCAAACTTATAAATTACCTTATCGCAATTAAAGGGACTCTTTGAGTTCATACTACATTATATAAGTATACTGTCTTCAATATAGTGCTGAAGAGGGACTGGGCTTGATGTTGGTTCATTCCAGAACAATTATGGCGATGTGTGTGTGTGTGTGTGTGTGTGTGTGTGTGTGTGTGTGTGTGTGTGTGT